ATGTTAACTAGGCCTACACACATCTACACGTGCCCTTCGGAGCGAGCATTCAATACATACCAATGCGCTCCTATCTGCTTCTGTGAGCGAACCTGCTGAAACTGAGAGACCAAAACCACAAATCAAATACAAAGATCTTCATTCACGAGATCCTGATGTTAATGTCCTTCCCTATTCTTTTCTTCTTTTTTTTAAAGATAAATATGTATATACTATATATATATATATTTATAGGTCTACCACAAATCCTGTGCCCATAAAACACAAACAGGAAAAGAAAAGACAGACAGGGACTATAGAGACTGAGCTTTGGGTGGAGAGTTGGAATGGCAGAAAGAAAATAATTAAATAAATAAAAAATAAACAAATAAAACTACAGCAAAAGATTCTTGGTAACAGTTTAAGGGACTGGCTGTACTGGGTATTATGATTTTGGAATATTTCTTAGGCATGACTGTTTGACTAGAAAGAAACAAAAGAAAAAATATATATATAATATTTGGATACAAATTATCACATTACATGGTTCTAATCCTCTTCAAATAGTCAAGATGAAATTATCGACTAAATGATTTGAAGTCTTCTCGAAAGCTACGAGGCTTATAACTAAGACAAACTTCCCACTGCAAACCTTAGCAAGAGAAAGAATTAAAAAAGAAGAAAAATAGTCAACAGTTCCAAGAGTAAAATACAAGTGTATTAATATTCAACAATAAAAAAAATAAAAGACATCTGCCTCTATTGCAATAATTTTTGATGACGTAATAAAAAAAACAGAACAAAACCTCATTCCAATCATCATTATGGCTCAGTATTAACCAATCCGGGCAACGAAATCAGTGCGTTTGAAACTGGCATTTATCAGATGTGCTCTTCTGATGGGCATTCCAAAGTGAAAGAGGGAGGAAAACAGGGTGGCTTCAGTTGACTCTACAAGTTGCCAACTTCTACAAGACTGAGCGAGGAGGAGGAAGATGGGGAGACGTACTGAGAAGTGGAACGGTTAAAGCTGGCTTTTCTTTACATCTTTAGCCATATACTCAGCCATGGGGAAATTAGAAGGAACAAAAATAAGAGGAAATCACTTTCCCTACAGGAAAATGTTGCATATCACCATTCTGCAATAATAATAATAATAATAATAATAATAATAATAATAATAATAATATTGATAATATAATAAAAAAAATCCTGAAATATTTTATATATGAAAAAAGCCAAACCACTGAGATTGTCTCTGCAGAAAACAGATTTCCACTGACCCAAGTGTAGGCAGTTATTATGCAACTACAAGGCACAGAAGCACAGAGTGGTTGTTAGTTAGCAATGCAATGACTAGAGAAAACAATAAATAATAAATGAAAGTCTTGCCTAACACAAGTCTGCCTATATGATATTTTGTAATCATTAGCACAGATAACAGAAACAGCCTCAGCTCAGTACAATGCAGGTATATTATAACTACATTTAGGCACATTCTCCTTCATACATTTATCTAGAAAGTCAGTTTTCATTAAAAATGAATGAGTCTAAAGAAAAAAATATTAACACTAACTTCAATGTCCAAACTATTCACAAATGTCTATAGCATGAAAGCCAGTCAGCAAACTAACCTCGTTACATGTAATGTTCAGCATTAAAATAAATCAACTTACTTTACAATCCTTCTATTCTCTATTTCAAACTTGCAACATAAGAGACATAATATATTTAGCATTCTTCAGGCAAGAGTTATCGACAGATAACCTCTGCGCGCTGAGCTCTGAAATCCCTAAATGCATTAATCCGTCTCATTCATCATGTACATTATGATACACATATTAAGTACACGCAGCAGCTGATGCATGGCCAGAAACTTACCGTCAGATCGGGCACTGCTGAACTCTGTGCTCTGGGTCTTCTCTCCAAGGCCGGTGAAGCTGTAGTCCCCCTAAGGTGGCAAGGATATGAGGTGAGACAGTGTGCAGCTATAATATTGGGAATGAGAACACCTTGTATGCAATACATATGCACACAGAAGCATACACACAAGCATAAATGCACATACAAACACATACACAGATGCATGCTGACATACATGCACATCTGTACATCACACTCATGCACCCACACAAAATCAAACACACATATCACTTTCAAACCTCAAGATATAAAAAAAAATCTCTGTGTATAACTGAAAATCTCATTAATTACTTTCCTCTAAGATTCTTTAAACTCTTTCTCAATCTGAATTTCATCTTTTTAACATTATCCTTTTTATTATCTCTTTCTTTTTTGCCCTTGTTTAAATTTCAGATAACTGTGATTTTCCTTTTTCTTTAAAACAAAACTGAAATATAACCCAGAGTAAAGAGGAATCAACCAACCATTACTTACATTTCAATTTCATTTTCTACTTGTATTTCATTTTCAAAATACTTACCATTTTCTACCTTCAACTACTGATAAAATGCTTCCAAAATGCAATGTGATAAAGCATGAGTTCCAGTCAGACAAAAAA